GACAGACGGCGACGACCTCTGGAGTTCGAGGTTGGAGATCATGTCTTCTTAAAGGTGATGCCTAAGAGGGGAGTGGTCAGGTTCGGAAAGCGGGGAAAGCTGTTGCCGAGGTATATCGGGCCCTTCGAAATACTTGAGAGGGTTGGTACAGTTGCCTATCAGTTGGCATTACCGCCTAGTCTATCTGGTGTTCACGCGGTGTTCCATGTTTCTATGCTCCGAAAGTACACTCCAGATCCTACACACGTGGTGGATTGGGGTGAGCTAGTGGTTGATGCGGATGGAACCTTTGAGGAGGGACCAGTGCGTATCATGGACAGCCGAGAACAGGTTTTGCGGGGCAAGACTGTGAGGCTGGTAAAGGTGTTGTGGCAGCACCGTGGGATGGAGGAGGAGACATGGGAACGTGAGGACACTATCCGAGCTACCTATCCATTTTTGTTCGAGAATGGAGGTACATCTCTTACAGTCATAGAGTATTTAATGATTTTTTTTGCATATGCATGTCGTTATATATGCATGTGGGTATAATTTCGGGGACGAAATTCCCTTAAGGGGGAGAGAATGTAAAACCCGATAAAAAAAAATATATATATATATTATTAATCCTAATAAAAATAAAAGGGTAAAATAATAATTAATTGTTAAATTATGGGTCAAAAACGTAAATAATAAAAAAATAATATATAATATATATATATATATATATATATAATATATATATATATATATATATATATATATATATATATATAAGTGGAAGACAAAGTCTTCCACTTGTTGTGTCTTCTACAGCCGGCGAGAAAGAGTGAGTGAGAAAAAAAAAAAAGAGAGTTTTTATTTTTTTTTCTCTTTTCTTCCTTCTCAGATCTAGGAAAATTTAACCGTTTAATCGTTTCGGGCCAAGAACTAAAGTTGCTCTACTCAGCGAGAGCTACGCAACCACACCAAAGATCGTATTTTTCTTCGAAGGTATCTCAAAGCCGATAATCCAGACCTAAAACTTAGGAAGCTAAATTTGGGCTTCCTTGACGTTCTTGTAAGTGGTCTCACGCTACGAGAGGTAGGGTTTCCCCTATTTAGATTTAATTTCAACTTAAAATATGACATATGGAATGAGTAGATTATGAGTGTATATCACATGTTAGGTCTTGACTAGTGGGTCAAATATAGAATTTATAATTAATCTTGTGATTAATAAAATTCTATTGTGATTAATAAAATTCTATTGTGATTAACTTGATATAAGTTAATGTTAGTAGTTTAAAGCATGTTAATTGTATGTTAGCATTACTTTATATTTTAATGGAAGATCAAGTTTAATAAAATTATTAACTTGTTATATGATTGTGAAATAATATATATATGTTAAATGATTATTTAACATATGATTATTTTGGTGGACTTTGTGCTTATGTTAAACATGTTATCATGTTGCAAGTCATAGCATGCTAGTTGTGCAAATTGATGTGCTCTTTAGGTGTTTGATTAAATGCCTAGGTGAATACAAGTATGTTAGTTGAGTTGATTATCTTACATAACATGCTTGAGATCGTGTTAAAATATCATTACATTGTATTTCATTATGCATGGGTTGCACTACATTCATGGGCATTGACATGGGTGAGAGTGTATGCATGGTATGAAATCAATCACCACGTAGGTGGTTGAACGTGGACTCGGAAAAGTGCACCAAGGTTCGGTTGAGTCGCACGAGAAATTAAATGGATAAATGTGTTGGGGACAGCACGAAGGGCTAGATTCTCCCTCGGGTGCAAGACCCGCTTACTTGGTTTATACACTTTCCGGCGGTGAAATTTCAAAAAAGTGTAACGGCGGAAACGGAGCCGCAGGTGGGATGTCCTGAAGATCCGTTGATGGTTGGTGTCCCATTGGTGTAATACCATAAATCATCTCCCCACAAAGACACAAGAAAATGAATTAATTAGCATTGAGTGTACATAACACCAATGATGGGGGCTTGGAATGCTCGGATACATACGCATGACATTGCATGTGTTATGGGAGCTCAGGATGGGGCTCGGGGTTGGTATTGCTTGCGTGAGTCTCATCTCATGGCATGACATGACCTATAACATTCAATCATAATAGACATATTTAAATGAATGTATCAAATGATTGTTGCATGTGACATTCCATATTCATTTAGGTTGAGAGGTATTCTCTATAGGCGTTACCCTATTGAGCGTTAGCTCACCCTTTATGGGAACATTTTTCAGGTATCGCACAGGCTTCCACCGAAGGCGAGGCCATGGGCCCGCTTTGACGACAGAGCCGGTCTGTGGCTTTTCTTTTGACATTGTAGTCCCTTGTTTATACTTACTTTTGGCCTTGTATAATTTTTGTAACAAACATTGTTTATATTTACAAAGGCATGTATATGAGACTCTTTTGGGACATTTATTCTTTTACGAATAAATGTATGTACTGATAATGATTATGGTAGTATTCGAGACTATATAATTGTGAATGGATAGATAGACCCGGTGTGGTCAATGTTGTACAGGTTGCGTTTTGGGTAGAGCTCCTTGTACAAAGGAGACTCTGTCCAAATTTTGTTAAGTTATGGATCCCAAGAAATGGGGCATAACGGTGTGGTATCAAATTACACGATATCCACCAGTATTACACAGGTCGATGGATAACCAATCGGATAATTACAGACACCCGGACTTTGGGGTGTCACAGCTGTAAACGAGAGAAAATCTCAAGTAGAGAGGGAAGACTAGAACCACTCAAAATCTGAAAACGAATAGCCTTGTATTCAGGTTTCAATCCTACCAAAAACCTAACAACATCCAAATTGTCATGTTGCTTCTGCCAAACTGTTACATTAGTAGTAAACGGGTGGTAGAGCTTCAACTACTCATAGAGTCCTTGAACGTAGGAGTAATAATCCTCAAGGCTTAGTGTACCCTGGTCCAGCTGAAAGTATTGCTTTCATACCTCATAAGCACGGGTAAAATTATCTGTACCAGAATACATAGTAGTCAAGTGATCACATATCTCTTTGGTAGTGTCAAGGTAAAGCAAACTAGAACTAATACTTGGCTCAATGCTATTCAACAGTAAAAAGATAATTTGAGTGTTCTCTTGTTCTCATTGATCATACCCAGAGGTATCTTCATTAGGTGTGAGATTAACCAAATATTTCTTAAAACCTTTTCCTCGAAGAAAGACTTGAATGGAATAGGACCATAAAGTATAATTGGTCCCATCGAGTTTAATAGAAGTAATGAGACCATTAATAAGAACCAGAGAAGTAGAGGTAGACGGCAAAGATGGAGCAATAGCATCTTACTTAGGTTCCATAATGATAATTCTGAACCCCCGAATTCTAGTTGATTTTGGTTTACAGATGAAATCTTTCAATTTAATTGTCATGCCATGCCGCTTCTCCAGAGTCGTTCTCCACCAAAAAAAATCTTATTGTCTTTGTAAGCAAGAATGATTTCATTGCACAGATTGGACTGGGCCGAGAAGTGCAATTAATCAAGGTGGATTTAATTTCCTTTGGAATGGGGTATTGCAGAGAGATCATGATAATGATCTGGGTTGACAGTTGGTTCTATAAGTCCTTGCAAATCTGCTTGAAATCGAGGATGTCAAGTAATGAATGAGTGTTTGAAAATGAATAAGAAATAGATTACCTATTTCTCCATTTTTTGTTGCCCAAGTTCCATCTGGTAATTCAGGAAATCAATGGAGTTTTTTTGTATCTTTTTACAGTGTGCATCTCACTGCACCAGTCATTGTATTCTTCACCTTTGACGCCATCTTTCTTCTTCCCTCTTTAATTGCTCTGCTACGTTGAATTGTACTATTTTTCCACTCCAGTATAAATGGAGGGATTTTTGGGGCTAAGGCTTGTAATTCCCAGCAGGATCACGATCACCTGAATGACAAACTTCACTACTTTTTGTCTGGAAATCTAAGGACTTAATTGTTATGATTAACGAGTTCAGTGATTCAATTGACACAACAAAAATTTTCATGACTTAATTGACAGAAAAATGAGTCATAAATATGTGTAGTTTAATCTAGATGTTTTTGTCCCATGGCACCTTGTATATACAATATCAACTTTTTTTTGCTTCTATGCCCTCTATGAGTTACCTATGATATTGTAAATTATAAATTGCAATGCCCTAGGTATTCTAGATCTAAACAAGGGTGAGTTGACAAGCCAGATCTAAATCACATGCTAATACTTTTTTCTCTTGGGCCACTCATAATCTATCAAATTTTAATAATTCATAAAATCTGAACATAAAGATAGTGCACAATGTGTGGAACTCCTGGTCAATTTAACATTGAAGGTGTCAATCAAACTGGGCTCGAGAAGGTTCCTTAGACCCTCCCCCACATGGTTAATTAAGTCCTTTTCTGCTCCCTATGTTTGCTGTATGATTAACGCCAAATGCTTATGAAGCTGGTATAGTAAACACAATTAATTAAATAAAAAAATTGTTACTCATGTCTCGATTTTATTGCATAAAACAAAAAGAACAACATTTTTTGTTGGATTAATGAAATTTTAAATGCCAGTATAGTTACAACATTTATCAAATTAAAGTGACAGAAACTTTGAAATTCAAATCAAACAGGATACCAAGTTAAAATTAAGAGAGAGAGAGAGAGAGAGAGAGAGAGAGAGAGAGAGTGCAGTGTCATGGAAGTTAGTAAAGAAAGGATAAATTCAGGTGAGTCAATGAAGATATTAAGGAACAAACTCAATCAATGGAGATAATAAAAAATCAATTCCATGGATCAAGGTTGAATTCAAGAATTTTAAATTCTTTCTTTGTCTTTGTAAAAGAACCAGAATCAAACTAGGGTAGTTTGATCTCTGTGCTTGTTCTTCAAGTTCATTGATTTTGGTAATTTTACCAAGACCTATAACATGCTTGCATCGCCATGCTCTCTCGTTCTCTCTCTCTGTACGTGGGTGTGAAGTGAACACAACCATTGACAGTAGGATGCCTCCCCTTTTCCATAACTCGTCTGATCTTCAAACCCTAAAGAAACCCAAAATCCTAGTACCTAAAAACACATTTTCTTCACTTCAAGGTCGCTTTTCGGTGCACCATTGTGCATGGCTCTTCGTCACCATTCTCTTCCAAGTCTTCCTCCTAATCTTCATCTCCGGTACTCAACTTATATACAATACACCCACTCAACAACAGTTATTCCCTTCTTTTCAGGCAGAAAAATGTGAGTCCGGCAAGGTTTACGTATACAACCTGCCAGAAATGCTTAACAAAGATTTGTTGAATAAATGCCACGAATTAGATCCATGGCATTCGCTGTGCAACGCCGTTTCTAACAACGGGTTTGGCCCTAGAGCCACTGGACTCGCCGGCATTGTGCCTGCAAATCTTGTTCCGGCGTGGTACTGGACTGACATGCATGCTGGGGAGATTATATATCACGCTCGGATTTTGAACTACAAGTGTAGAACAATGGATCCAGAATTGGCTAGGGTATTCTACATTCCGTTTTACGCTGGGATTGCGGTACAAAAATATTTGTTCACTAATTCCAGCGCAAGGGACCGTGATTGGCACTGTGAAACAATGCTGAGGTGGGTTCAGAACCAACCATATTGGAGGAGATTCAACGGCTCTGATCACTTCATCATGCTTGGTCGGGTGACGTGGGATTTTCGACGATCCAACGATGCAGATTGGGGGACGGGCTTCATTAACATGCCATTGATGCAAAATATCATACGGCTCACCATTGAACAAAGCCAGTGGGACCCTTTGGATGTTGGTGTACCTTACCCCACCGGATTCCATCCTCGGTCCGCCTCAGAAGTTCATCAATGGCAAAACTTTGTCCGTACTCGCAAGCGAAAGACCCTCTTCGCCTTTGCAGGTGGGAAACGACCGGGTATGAAGAATGACTTCAGATCATTGTTACTGAGTTACTGTTATAAAGAGTCTGACTCGTGTCGAGTCGTAGACTGTGGCCGGACACGGTGCCAAGATGGGACGTCGGCGATTCTTGAAGCCTTCATTGACTCGGACTTCTGTTTGCAGCCTAGAGGTGATTCCTACACGAGGCGCTCTCAGTTTGATTGCATGTTGGCAGGCTCGATCCCAGTGTTTTTCTGGAAAAACGGAATCTATGATCAGTATCAATGGTTCTTGCCAGGTGACCCACAAAGTTTCTCGGTGTTTATAGATCACAGGGATGTGAGAAATGGTGCTACTTCTATAAGACGAGTGCTGGAGATTTTCAGCAGGGAAGAGGTGAGAAGGATGAGAGAGAAAGTGATTGATTCTATACCCAAGTTTGTGTACGCAGACCCTAGTCAGGGTTTGGATGTTAGTAGAGATGCTGTTGATATTGCCATTGATGGGGTGTTAAGGAGGTTCAAGGAACAAAGAGGGGGACGCAAGTCAAATACGACAAAGGAAGCAAGTGAAACAGCGAGTATAATTTAATGATATGTACTAACTGGGCTTTCAAGGGAGATATTAGAACGAAAAGGACTAATCAATTGAAGATCACTGTGAAGAACCAGCGTGGGAGCAAATACCAAGTTGATGAACTAACTGTGAAGAACATTCAAATGTGTTGATGAGGAGATTGCAAGATAGCTATGACCAAAAGTCAGGTGAAGATGGCGATAACAACTCTAGCTACAACTCCAAGGGAGATATACGTGCTGTTTTGGTTGTGATGCGTACTGTAATTTCTTAGGGTGTGTATGTGATATTGTATCCATATATTCCTCCAAATTTTTTTTTCTCCGTTCACTCCTTGTCAAGTCATCAATCATATATTAATGATAAATTCACTGATATAAAATGGTATCACTTAAATTTAATGATATAATAGTACTGACCCGAGTCTGTGTAAATTTGAAATATATTAATCTATTAGATAAATTATACTTACACCCTTTTAAACTATAACTTTTTTTTTCACTTTTAACCACTTAACTATTAGATTTTTTACAGTGTACCCTCATCTAGTATTATTCTAAACGAAAACCCGAGAAAATGACTCATAGGATGGATCTAAAAAATGAACTGAAAATAAAATTGTGCCAACTGAACTTGAGCCAATTCTTTACAAAGTGAGGTGATACATACATATCCATACATCTAGTGTTAAAATCCAACTATATTAGCAGATTTGAAGGCAGTGTGTGCACTATTTCTCCGACTCTTGACCAGAACTAACCAACCAAGGCCAACCAACCTCATAAAATTAAAAAAAAAAAGTTCCTAGGTTCGTTAATCAAAGCCCCAAAATATTACTACATACACAGTGGATGATCATTGATCATGATAAAAATAAGAACTTCAGTCATAGAAATTTAAAAGATGGGTGGTAGAACGATAACGAAGATGTGTGAACAATATAATTGAAATGCAACATACCACAGACATCCTTCATATCACCTGCCCATATGAATTTCAGTCTCCTATTCATCATGTCGAAATCTTGGATACAGTAACAAAGTGCATAAAAAGAGAATGTGTTAGATCATTGTTTCGATAAACCAGTAGAATGAAAAAAACATATTCACTTCCCCCAAAACAGAAACTGCAAGACGAATGAATTGATCGAAAAATTTGAAATTACAGTTCGAAAGTTGATAAACAAAGATTTAGTCAGATAATTATTTCAATAAACTGGTAGGATGAATGATAGGTCCCAAACTCAGAGAGTATATTGCTAAGCTACTTTGTTTTCTCTTCGGGTGAGAAACGTACCACAATTTAAATGCAAAGAATACTTGACTTACTTAACGAAAGCGTTGGCTGCTTTAAATAAGCAAAGCCACGTACAAGCGAACCGAAATAAAAGGGTAAGTAATAGCTAACAAATGGAACTCAACACACTTAAAACAGAGCAAAACAAACAGAAATAAAATGATGTAAAACTCGCAACTACGGATGACCCACTTCTACACGTAAAACTCTTGACCGCCACGACCCAGTCCAAGTCCATTCCTGCATTGGTCTTCACCTGTTTACTGGCCTCGTCTACATAAATGCAACGGTCCTTCACGTCCCAGCACATCCCAAATATTTGGGATTTGCTTTATGGCCCCTCTCAGATCGTCGTGGCCTATCAATACCCCCCCCCCCCCCCCCCATTAAGTGGACGCTTGTCCCCACGGTCCAAAGAAGGAAATTGTTCAAGCAAAGACTGGTTAGTCTCCCAGGTGGCATCCTCGACTGGTAGATGCTTCCCCTAGACCAGATTTTCTTCTTCAAATTTATTCCCCCGTTTGACCCAGCGAGTGTCTAGTTTATACTGAGGTTCGAGTATAACAGCCCCTTTATCATTAATTGGTGGCAGCTACTTTGAAGGTTTCGCAAGCTCTCCTACAATTTTTTTTAAGAGCGATACGTGGAAGACAGGATGAATGCGGGCTCCTTCCGGCAGTTGAAGTTTGTAAGCGACAACCCCAATCTTTTGTATCACTGGACATGGTCTGTAGAAGCGACTAACTAGCTTCTAGTGGGCTCATTTGAAGGTTGTCTGTTGTCTAAAGGGGTGCAATTTAAGAAACACCAGATCACCAACTTCGAAGGAAACATCCCAACGTTTTTGATTCACAATTAGCTTCATGCGATTAATGGAAGTTTCCAGATTACTTTTGAGTTGACGCAGCAGCTCATCTTTAGCCTCTAGACTTTGGTCTACTTCATGCACTGAAGAAATCCCATTATGGTAAATGGGAACTTGAGGAGGTAAACGTCCATGTAGTGCCTGAAAAGGGGTCATTCCCGTGGACGCATGATACGTTGTATTGTGCCAGAGCTTAGCCCATGGAAGGTAGTTGCTTCACTTGCGCGGCCACTAATGAACCACACTTTGGAGGTATTGCTCAACACAGCGATTGACAACTTATGTTTTTCTGTCCATCTGTGGTTGGTAGGCAGAACTAAGTTGTAGCATGGTTCCCGACATTTGAAAGAACTCCTGCCAGAATTTGTTGATAAGAATGGGGTCTCGATCGCCGATGATGGACTTGGGTAGTCCATGCAATTTAATAACTCCTTCTATAGACCTTTTAGCCACGATTTTAGCAGTAAAAGGATTAGTTAAGGATAGGAAATGTGCAGACTTACTCAAACGGTCGGCAACTACTAAGATCGTGTCCTTGCCGTGGGATGTCGGTAGTTTTTCAATGAAGTCTAAGGTGATGTTGTCCCACACTTGAAATGGAATGGGTAGCGGCTGCAGGAGCCCAGCTGGAGACATTGTTTCAGACTTCACCCTCTTACAAGTTTCACATTTTTTGATATATTCTTGCATCGCCTGGTACATTTTTGGCGAGTAGAATTGTTGGACTAATTTCTAGAATGTCTGCAAGATCCCAGAATGTCCACCTATTTTTGTATTGTGCATTTCATGGAGCAGTTTTGTCCGTAAGGTGGCATGAGAAGGATTGACTACTCTCCCTTTAAAGAAGAGAAACCCATTACGCCATGCATACGACCTTTCTAGTTGAGCATTAGCCAGACGAGTTAGAGATTGGACGTAAGAGTCTCCTTCATAAGCTTTTTTAATCTCATCCCATACGGTCACCGCTGGCATATGTAGTTGGTGAAGAATTGGGCTACCAGACTTGCGTGAGAGGGCGTTTGCTGCTGAATTCTCGCGACCTAGGCAGTAAATAATCTCATAGTCGTAGCCCATTAGCTTGACTACCCATTTCTGCTGTTCTGGCATAGCCACACGTTGCTATAAGAAATATTTAAAGCTACGCTATTTAGTGAGAATGAAGAATTTTTTTCCCAGCAGATAAGGACGCGATAAACGTATGGCCTCCACAATTACAAGCATTTCCTTGGCATAGGTTGACCAAGATTTTTTTGTAACCCCCAATGTTCAACTCATAAATGGTATAGGCCTGCTTTGTTGTGATAAAACTGCGTCAATCCCTTCCCAGATGCATCGGTTTCAATGGTGAAGGAGTCATTGAAATTAGGCATAGCTAACATTGGAGTGGCTGTCATTTCTTGTTTGAGATCTAGAAAGGCTGCGTCAACTTCATCATTCCAACTGAATTTTCCTTTCTTGAGCAGGTTGGTCAGGGGTCACGCTATGATGTTGTAGTTTCGATCAAACTTCCTGTAATACCCTGTTAAGCCTAAAAAACCACGTAACTCAAAAATATTAGTGGGGGGTGGCCATGCGACCATGGCGGCAATTTTACTATTATCAACCTTCACTCCTTGATGTGTGACAATGTGCCCCAAGTATTCCAATTCCTATTGGCCAAACACGCATTTGCTTGCCTTGGCAAAGAATTGGTGATGTCGCAAGGTCTCCAATTTTTGTCTAACTTGCACCGTATGCCCATCCCAGGTGGAACTATATACCAAAATATCATCAAAGGCCAAAAGGCATTACGAGATATTCGTAATGGCTGTTATGAGTACGGAAATCAGTTTTAATAACATCCGGAGGATTTACTCTTACTTGATGATAGCTGGCCCTCAGATCAAATTTGGTGAACTAAGTGGCGCCATATAATTCTTCCAACAAATCATCCACTGTCAGAATGGGAAAATGATCCTTGATCGTGGTGACGTTAAGTGTACGATAGTCTGTACAAAATCACCAACTACCATTTTTTTTCTTCACTAATAGTCCCGACGACGAGAAAGGACTGGTGCCAGGACGAATGAGCCCCTAATCTAACATTTCTTGGACCTGTTTCTCAAATTTCAACTTTCTGGAAGTGGGCATACCTATATGGTTGTACGTTAATTGGCTCGATTCCCCCCTTTAGCGTAATACAATGATCCACTTCACGTGCAAGTGGTAAACTTAAGGGTTCCTAGAATACGTCCTCATACTCTTTCAACAACCTTTGCATTCTTTGTTGTGTATCTTCAGTTGGTGCATTAGGTGGTGTGGTTTCCATGGTTGGTTGGAAACACACAAAAAATATCGCATGTCCTCGACGAAACTCCTTCAATATTTCTTCTGGTGAAGTGGCCTGAATGGTTTGCACATCTAGTGCTTGCAGCCTTCGCTCTTGATTTTGCCAAATAAAATTTATGGTCAATTGTTTCCAGTAACAAACCATGGATCCCAACATTTCAAGCCATTGAACGCCAAGGACAAGATCAAGACCTGATAAGGGCAGAGAGAAAAGGGTGACGTAAAGTTCGGTGCCTTGTAATTCTACCCGTACCTTTTCGTAACGCCTTTGACACGTTAGTCTTTCTCCTTTGGCCTCTAGGACAGGGAATGTCTCAATAGGTATGACTAGCAACCTGAGCATGCTTGCCAAATGGTTGCTAATGAAGTTGTGTGTTGATCCGCTATCAATCAAAATCATTACTTCATGGGGACCCATTTTCGCTATTACACGTATGGTTTTTGGTGTTGTCTTTCCCATTAGTGCGGGCAAGGTAATCTCTGGTTCAAGTTCATGTACCAGCATCTCTGCTACCTCTCCCTCGTGGTCATCTTCCATCGTTTGTTAATCAATAATGTCCTCACATAACACGTTACCTGCATACCCCTCCAAGAGTAATAGCTGCTATTTTTGACATCTATGGCCTACTGTAAAACGTGCTCTCTTCCTCTACATTTCCTCCCAAGACAAACGCTTAATGGGTCCCGCAGGTGTAGCAGGAGCTGCATAAGTGGCTTGTGAAAGAGCTAACAGAGCTTTCGCAAGTGGTAACCGCATGAACCTTCTTGGTCGTGCGAGTTGATCG